GAGCCAGGAGCCTCAGGTTGTCCCAGGCTGCACACAGCAGGAAAGGCCACTTTCCCCGCAGCCTGCAGGCTCCTGTTCTTGGCCAGGTCGGGGCCAGTGTTTCTCTAAAGCAGCAAATGTTGTGCCAAGTGCGGTCCTGCTCAGCCTAATCCCGAGTGGGGTGTCCTGACCACAGCCCCAGGCCCCCTGCGCCTGGCACACACCGGATAGGGCAGGATGGGGGTGTGGTCTCCCCCAGCCCCTCTCGCTGGGCCCCACCCCTGCTGGTGCTCTGTCCCAGCACCGACCACCCTGTCCCACGACAGCCCTACACCCATGTCTGTGTCCTCAGGTCAGGTGTGACTCCGTGAAGCCAGGCCCCGCATTGCTCTGATGGGCTCCTTCCCAGGATTCTGCCTGCCAGAGGGAAACAGCACTGGATAAGCAGATGGGGGACACGTGAGGGAGTGAACACGTGTTCTTGCCGTCCCACACAGGGGACAGCGGCACCCTTACCCTACACTGACCCTGCCCATTGTCCTGCCGGGCCAGCATGCTCCCTCTTGTAACCTAGAGTGTGGGCAGGTGAGCACACGCGTGCATGCACACTCACATGCACACTCACATTTGCATGCACACACATGCACACTCACACTTACATGCACACTCACATGCACATACATACGCAGGCACACATGTGCACACACTCACACTTACATGCACACACATGCACACTCACAGGCACACATACGCAGGCACACACACATGCACACACATACACACATGCACACATACACAGGCACACACATGCACACGCATACACATGCACACATACGCAGGCACACGCACATGCATGGGCATGTACACATGCCTTTCTGTCTTGGTTTTCTCAGTGACTGGCTGGCAGGAATTAGCCGCTGTGAGGGAGTGAACATGTGTTCTTGCCATCCCACACGGGGGACAGCGGCACCCTTACCCAACACTGACCCTGCCCATTGTCCTGGCCGGGCCAGCATGCTCCTTCTTGTAACCTAGAGTGTGGGCAGGTGAGCACACACGTGCATGCACACTTACACGCACACGCGCATGCACACTCACATTTGCATGCACACACATGCACACTCACACTTACATGCACACTCACACTTACATGCACATACACACACAGGCACACATGTGCACACACTCACACTTACATGCACACACATGCACACTCACAGGCACACATACGCAGGCACACACATGCACACGCATACACACATGCACACATACGCAGGCACACACACATGCATGGGCATGTACAAATGCCTTTCTGTCTTGGTTTTCTCAGTGACTGGCTGGCAGGAATTAGCCGCGTGAAGACGCTGTCTGCTGGGTCTGTGACAAATGCCTCAGGGTCTCTGTGGCCCCAGACACGATGCATCTTGTCAATGTCTTACAGGTTCAGGGGCTCAAGGAAATGGCTGCCATGAATACTGTCACCGAGAAAGGGGAGGGGAGTCGTCTCCCAGCCTGGTCGGCCATCGGCTGGGAGGCAGAGCAGCAGGTTTAGATATCTCGGCGGCAGCAGCATCAGCGCCCTCGCGGCTTCTGCAGAAACCGGAGGCGCCGTCTCAGCGCAAAGGCACCTGCTCAAACGTCGTCTCTGCTCCTGCGCATCCTCGCCCAGGAATGTCACTTCTCAGATCTGCCACGGATACAGTAAAGGTGCGTTTTTCAGCATTTCAGGGTGTTTTTAAGCTGTTCTCTACTGAAAGGCCGTGCTTACAGAAAAGGTTCTTAAACGGGGCAGGTGCCTGGTGGTATTCGAACCAAGGTAACATTTGCACGCCCTGGTTTCTGCAGAAACGGCATCGACTAATGAAACGCTGTATCTCCCCGATCCCAGAGACGGGACAGCGAAGCACTCAGCTCTCTGCCTGTCCCAGCCCACGGCCACCAGCCAGCCCTGGCGCCTCCTGGAAAAACCGAGAAGCAGGCGGGCAGGAGTCCCTTCTTGGCCCAGAGGAGCTGACGGCCGCGTCTCTTCCTGTCCTGATTGATGTCGGGCCGGGAGTCTGGGTTTTAGATCTCAGGCTTCCTGCAGACGCTGGAAGAGAATGTTGGCTGGTGGGGAGGGGCAGGGCAGGGCAGGTGGGGAGTGGTGAGAGGTGCAGGAGACAGACCACCCCCCACTCACCCCCCCACACACACCCCCGGCTCCCTGGGTAGGGGCAATTGTTTGCACTGTCACCGAAAAGGAAATGTATTTGTTTTCTGCTCACAGGCCCAGATGGTGGGGAAGGCATGACACCTCCCTCAAATAAGGCGGATGGAGGAGGCTCAAGGAGACACATTAGCAAGGAAGGAGCTGCCCAGCATCGCCAAGGGCAGAAGAATCACCTGGGGGAACCTCTGGCATTTGGTCAGGGTCTGATCTGCAGAGACATTAACAGCTGCAGAAGGAGGACTGTGCGATGGAATTGCAGGTCAGAAAACTGACGGGACCAGATGCTGCGGGGACCGGGCCCTGCGTGCCTGCTGCTCTGTGTGCCCTGGCCTCCCCCTCAGCTCCAGGTCTGGTCTCTGCTCCTCCTTCGGTGTCATTCCCGGGGCTCCTGAGGGACCACTGCCCTCGGCCCTGTGTCTCCCTCTGCAGCTACCGTGGCTGGGCCCAGGCCTCAGACCCTCGGGGACAGCAGCACCCTTACCCCACGCTGAGCCTGACCATTGTCCTGTCCGGCAAGGACACGTGGAGGGAGGGAAGGGCCTCTGATCCCCAGTTCCCAGCCCAACAAGCTGATCCTTTTTCTGTTCCTCATTACGGCCAAACCTGGCTTGGCAACAAAACCCGATCTGAGCCGATGCAGAATGTTTATAATCGTTATTCGTTCCTCTCCGGTGAATATTCATGCATTTCTCTGCAGAGGCCTGAAAGCAATGACTCAGGGTCGCTGCCCAGATTCTGGCGGGGGTGTAGCCTAACAGAACGTCCACTTTCTGGGGCGTTGGCCTCCGACTCGCATCCTGGCTCATCCCCCTCGGGAGGCGAGCCCTCCACAAACCTGGCGGCCGACTCGTTCCCTTTGCTGTGTACCACGTGCAGAAGCAACACGAAAAGCTGCCCAGTGCTTTTTGGTAACAGAATATTTTTTAAAAAGTAAACCATGGATGAAGGTTATACGACGTACAATGTGGCAGAACTTAACATATGACCATACTTTAGGGAGAAGAAAAAGATCCTCGCAAGAGGGAGTTGTTGCTGATGGATTTTGAAAACCACAGCGAGCCTGTTTGGCTCCTGGGCTCCAGCGCATGCGCCCTCATCCCGCCTGGGAAGGCGCAGGGGGGTGGGGGATGCGGGGGCTGGTGACAGGGAACCGCGGGGAGTGAGCTGAGGCCTGGGAGGAGGCAGGGGCCAGGCAGCAGGGGAGCAGCGGGAAGGGGGCCGGGGCACTGTGTTTCCAGCAGCTCAGCAGCAGGAACCGATTTGCCGGCAAAAGCGCACGATCGGATTATGCAGAAGAACCTCCTGCAGCTCCCACCAGGCCCGGACGCCCAGCCTCCTTCTTGGGCAGCACGAGCCAGCGTTTCGAGAGATGCTCACAGTGAGGCCTGAGCTCACAGCTTTCCCTGTGACACAGGTTTGTCATCGTGCTCATCATTTCCCCTATTTATGAAAAAAGGAAAAACCCGCAGCCCTGGCGCCCGCAGGCCCGGGAGAGGATTCGGGGGCGAGCGCCTTGTGGGGTGTGTGAGGGGGCCGGGTGCTGTGGGCGGGCGGGAGGTGAAGGCCGGAGCCTCGGGTTAGGATGCCGATGGAGAAACTCATCGTGTGTGCGATAGAAAGATGCGTTTTGCCAGAAAGCCTGGCTCAGCGCCCGGAAGGGCCAGCACTTGGCCCTGCACCCCTGGGAGCCTGATCCTGAGGGCTGGGAGCACGCCGAGGCCTGAGGCCCGAGGCCGGGGCACATGCGGACCTTCATCAGTTTCAGGATCGCCTGGCGTGGAGCACGCGCCACTCAGCCATTGGATTCTGTGTGCTTGCCCAGCACAGTGGAGAGTAAAAGCCTGCTCCTATCTCCACAGCTACAATGCGGGGATCATTTCATTGAAATCATGTTGGAAATGTATTAATTGAACAAGGCCACCCAGTCACCCTCTGAGCAGTGACTCTGTGCACAGAGACCCTCCCCCCGCCCTCCACTCAGGGTCTTGCTCTGTCACAGTGAGCACCCCACCCCACAGCCCTCTCTTATTTTTTCATTTTTGTGTGTGATGACAATTGCCGATGGTATGACTCCTGTTACAAACATGAAGGAGTATTCCATTAATGGTAATTGCTTATCAGAGAAAATCAAATCTTATCGCCGTGAGAAACCTCGCTGTGGTTTGCATGCAAATCGAAGGCTCCGGATTAAGACAGTTTTTCTTTTGCCTTTTCTGTCACACTCAGGAGCGTGGTAACATTCTCATTTTCTCCGCCAGGCGCCGGTCCTCCCCAGGCTGCAGAGTGACCGTGGACCTGCTCAGGACACAGGCCTGAGGTCCAGCAGGGTCACAGCCGGGACAGGAGAGCCTCAGGCGGCCCCTGGCCCATCGGTGGGTGGGCTGGAAGGCCAGACTGAAGTCTAAAGGAGGGGTGTGGGCGCTGGGGGCACGAGCAGGGGTGCTGAGGCCTGGCTGCAGCAGCGCTGGGGGTCACGGGTCAGTGAAGGTCAGCCCGCCTGCCCTTCAGGCTGAGAAGGACCAGATAAGTCTCAGCTCTCAGCCGGACTCCGGTGGGGCCACCGGTGCGGCGTGACGGTGTGACAGTGTGTCCGAGGCAAGTGTGCGAAGGGCTGTTGAGTTCCTGGGATGCTTGACCCAGAGAGACGCCCCGGCCCAGCAAGGCCAGCACCAGCTTTTCTTCTGCTCAATGGGCAGCTCCAAGGGAAGAACCGCGCACCCACCATTCGGCATCGATGCTGGACTGGGCCCTGAGTGGGTCTGCGAGAGCAGGGAGCCGCCGTGGGCAGAGAGGCCCAGGAGTGGGACAACCCTGAGCTGTGGGTCACTGTGTGGCCAGGCCCATGCTCCTGGAGAGACTCCCGCCCAGGGGTTCCCACCCTGAATACCTTGAACCAGGAGCCTCAGGAGCTGGCCTCAGCCTCCCAGATGCGACCTGTGAATTATACCTGCGACGACTCTCAGAGACTCGCAAAAAGTAAGTAAATCCATCACAAACTTTCTCCATCCTCCTCCAGCCAGGCAACCGGGGGACACAGTCGGCCTGATTTATGGTCCCGATCACACACGGACCTGAACGCCCTCCGTGTCGCCAGGACTTTTTGATCAATGACAATGTACCTGCTGCGCCACGGAAATACTGCATCTTTCAACCTTCCAGACATTTCATCAAAACGTCACGATCCGCCTCATTTTTCTGGCCCGGGGCAGCTGCGTCCCCGCCCTCCTGATTTTTGCCCCATTCCGGCCGCAGCTCCTCGGCTCAGGCTCCGGGAGCCGCGTGTTGAACGAGGGCCTTTCTTGTTCGTCTCCCAGCAGAGTCAGCCCTCCCCAGCCGGGTGCCTTTATCGGGGTGCCACGCCTGAAAGGACCGTGGACCGTGTACCCGTCTTCGTCCCTCACCTGACCCTTTGCTGCCTCTGGTCACTCCGGCCCCCACCCCATTCGCCCAGACTGGGCAGTCTCGAGGCGCTCACTGAGCAAATGCCTTGTGAACGGATGGAAAAGTCAGCCACCCGGGGTGTGGGGCAAGGAGGTGGCCTGGAGCAGGAAAGGGAGGGTGACCTGATACAGCAGGGAACTTCCTGAGGCAGCGCAGCTTCAACCTGACTCCCCGACAGCCTCTGAGGGAGAGAGGAGGACTCCTGGCAGACTTGTCACAAGTCAGATCAATCCCTGAGGCACCAAGAGTCGCCTGATCTGCCGGTGGCCACACAGCTAACAGGTCCTGGAGCGCAGGTCTCCGTCCTCCAAGCCCAGGCAGTGCTAGTCCCGCGGAGAGACCATAGGAAGGAAAGACCCTTGTCACCGTCCCTCAGGGATGGAACAGGACTCGTGCCCGCAGGGCTCGGGGCCCCGGGGAGCCGGGCAGCAGCTCTGCCTGAGGGACCGCCCACCTGAGGCCGCAGGGACACAATGGAGGCCGGAAGGGGACACATGCACAGCGGATGATGGACATGCACAGCGGATGATCGCTTTAAAACACAGGAACACAGGTTTCAAATACATGAGTCGTGTTTTCTATAGTTAGTCTGTCACAAGCTTTCTGGGCATGAAAAATGCTTCTGTGGTCACTACAGCTTAAGTTTGCATGTGGCATGTTAGTAATTTCCGGGCACCTTTATGGTGTTACTTTTATAAGTTTGGGTTCCCTTTCCCAGCGCTTTGAAGAGGAAAAGCAGCATAAAGATCTAAGTTGTGTGATTTTTCTCTAGGAAAGATGCCTCGATGACAACCACGCCCGCCGAGCCTCTGCAGCCGTCTGCCAGGCGCGGGGCTCTGCCAGCCCTCGGTCCCCGGAGCCCTTGGCAGGAGGCTGTGGTGAGCCCTGCGTGGATGTGTGTGTCTATAGGCCTAAAACTAAGTGAAAAATGGGGAAAGTGGTAAAACGATAGTATGCTGCTGTGCTCGCCTGGGGCCACACTCCCGTGACTAAAACAGCCAGACAGGGAGGGACCCTGTGACCCTTTGCACCTTGGAGCTGTGGACGCTGGTGCGGGCTCAGGGCCACCAGGCCCTGGGCATTGCCTGGCACAACCTGTGCTCAGCGCCCTGCACGCCGCTCTGCCACGGGCTGCCTTGCACACAGACACGGCGGGCGGCGTGGCACTCAGAAGGGGCTGTCCCGGCAGGTGCTCGCAGCCACGCTCCGTCCTCCTCGATAAATAGTAGATACGATCTCCGGACTCTGACAGAGACCGGGAGGGGCCCCCAGCACCCCCCTGTTTAAAGCTTGCAATATTTTTGAGACGTTTGCCTTTATCAAATATATGAAAATAACATATGCACCAAACCTGGTCCTATGTGTTGAAAGCTGGTAAGTTACCTTTTCATGTTTCACTGAATTGGCATGGAATCATAGAAATGGCACAGCAATTACAGCTAGTTGCCTGGTTACCCCAAAAGCAATGACCCACTTTAGTAAGAACACCATCTATATAGTTCATGGTATGTTGCATTCTGTCAGTATTTCTGGTCACAAGAGTTCTTAGAGCAAATGGG